ATTGACTCACACTTCTGCAGGCTACACAGGAGGCATGACTGGAAGGCCTCAGAAACTTACAATCATGACAGAACGTGAAGGGGATGCAAGCACCTCCTTCACGTGGTGGCAAGAGAGAGAGACAGTGAAGGAGGAAGTGCAACACACTTTTAAACCATCAGATAGTGTGAGAACCCACTTACTATTACAAGAACAGAAAGGAGAAATCTGCTCCCATGATTCAATCACCTTCCACCAAGCCCCTCCTCCAACATGAGGATTATAATTCGACATGAGATTTGAGTGGGGGCACAGAGCCAAACTACTTCAATATTCCTATTGTTAATTGATGCACAACTATAGTTATACTAAAAAATATTTGCTGTTTATCTGAAATTCTAATTTAACTGGGTCTCCTATCCTTTTTCTGGCAAACTTACTGTGGAAATAAATGAAGACCACCCAAATGAGAACAAACATAGGCTATTTACTCAGAGCTTGCTACAGAAAGAAAGTCAGCCAACATAATTTGTGGTTAGCATAGATTCAAAAACAGGCAGGGGAGTGGGAAAGAGCTTCAGGTATGCCCTGGTTGGAGGGCTAACTAGGAGTTGGGCATGTTATTGATTGGTCTGGGGAGCGGATTTGGCTTTCTCCAGTCAGACATAAGTTGGAAGCCAGGGCAAAAAACAGGGCAGTTTTTGATGAAGACCTGACTGTCCTGGACCAGCTGCTGAGGAGATTGTGGTTTGAATTCCCAAGACAGCTGTTGGTAGTTTAGGTGCTAGAAAGGTGACCGCAGAGGTGATGGTTTGGCAAGGGATCAGAATAGACATTTCTCCAAAGAAGATATACAAATGGTCAGCAAGTACAGGAAAAGATGCTCGACATTGTCAGTTATTGGGTAAATGCAAATCAAAATCACAATGAGGTGTTACTTCAAACCCACTAGGATGGCTATAATTAAAAAGATGGGAAATAACAAGTGTTGCTGAGGAGGTAGAGAAAGAAGAACCTTCATACATTTCTTGTGGGAATGTAAAATGGGAAAGCTACTGTGGAAAACAGTTTGGCACTTCAAGTTAAACACAGAGTTAGTGTATGATCCAGCAATTCCACTCCTAGCTGTATACCCAAGAGAAATGAAAACATATGTCCATAGAAAAACTTGTACATATGCCGAGGCCAGGTTGGCTGTAGAGACCCCAACCCAGGTGGTGCTAAAGGAATTAAGAAACAGAAACAGAAATAGAAAGTAAAAGGTGGGTTCAGAGTGGGGATCAGGGGTCTCCCACCATTTCCAGCTGAGAGTCCAGAGCAGACTCTGACCTACATATTTATTCTTTACTTTCCAGTGACAAGTTTTACAAGCGGATGCTCTGTGTTCTTTCATTGGTTAAAGGTAAACTAACCAGGCAGCTAGTATATGTTTACTACAGGTTAAAGACAAACTAGAAAGCGCTCTTTAGAGAGAACAAAGGAAAGAGTCACATATTCTGTATTCAGATAACTAATTCATCTGCTGTGAGACATATTCATATCAGTTACTGTTTTATAACCCTTTTAGCAGTTTTCTGCCTTGGGGGGCTGACTAGGTCTTCCTTGCCACCGCTCTCAGTAAACAATATGATTTCTCACACATGTCAGAATTTGCTGTCAACACACATAAATATTCACAGTAACATTATATACAGTGACCAAAAAAGTAGAAAGACCCTAAATGTCCATCAGCTGATGAATTGATAAACAGAATGTGGTACATCCATTTAATAGAATATTATTCATCAATAATAATTAATGAAATTCTAATACATGGTACAGTGTGGTTGAACCTTGAAAACATTATACAAAATGAAATAAGCCAGTCAAAAAAAGGCTACATATTGTATAATTCTATTTATATGAATTATCCAGAATAGGAAAATCCATAAAGACAGAAAATAGATTAGTGGTTGCCAGGGCCTAGGAGGAGAGGAGAGTAGAGATTGACTGCTAATGGTTACAGAGTTTCTTTTTGGGGTGATGAAAATGTTCTGGAATTAGTGCTAATGGTTGCATAATTTTTGTGAATATATGAAAAATTATTGAATTTTTAAAAATACTTTAAAAAATACTGATTTTCCTTAGGGTACATTTTCTACTCACCACTTGTAATAAGTAAGGTATGTCTTCTAACTTTTGCAGCCCTCCTAAATGTACACTACCTGGACAACTGTACAAAACGGACCTGATTTTGGTCTCTTGCCATTGTTCTATGTTCTTCCACAAACATAGCTTCAGTGTCTTCTAACTCAGTCCATTAGTTATGACTGGCAGATGCTGCTAGAGATCCACATAGAAGACTTGAGAGGTTATCCAGGCCACTTTTTAAAATAGACTATTTCAGGTGATATAGTAAGGACTACAAAATATTCTAAGAGTTTAGAAAGGTTAAAAAATAGTTATGGCTTTTTTCTTCCTTTTCTTCTGTTTTTATTCTTTCTATAGTCTTAGCAAAGATGATTGTCATGGCCTCTGGTTAATTTTAATCATCTCGAGGAACCTAGAAGGCCATAAATTTCAGCTCTAATGCTCCTTTAGCTGTCTCTGCTTCAATATCTACAGCTATTTTGCTTATGTTTGCTTAAAGTCAACTGCAATAAGCTAGTTGACTTTAAGATGGTAAAAGCTTTATATTTTACCTTTCTCACGGCTCTGAACATTTTTTCAAAGGTCTATTGGTAATATATGTTCTAAACCAGCCATCCTCAACACCATATAACATTTATATAACCTGAGAAATACTTTTTAGATGCTTTAAGCCCCAGACCCAGCTTAATTGGCCTGGGGTGGAGTCTGATATCGATATCATTTTTGTTTTATTTTGATTTTGAGATGGAGTATCACTCTGTCACCGACGCTGGAGTGCAATGGCGCAATCTCAACTCACTACAACCTCCGCCTCCCAGGTTCAAGCAATTCTCCCGCCTCAGCCTCCCGAGTTGCTGGGACTACAGGCACCTTCCATCATGTCCGGCTAATTTTTGTATTTTTGTAGAGATGGGGTTTCACCATGTTGGCCAGGCTGGTCTTGAACTCCTGACCTCAAGTGATCTGCCTGCCTTGGCCACCCAAAGTGCAGGGATAATAGGTGTGAGCCACTGTGCCTGGCCAAAAATCAATATTTTTAAAAAGTTCTACCTGGCAATTCCAATGGAAAGCCAGGGTTGATGAAAACTGCTCCAAAAACAGTTATTAGAATCCAAATCACTGACAACAACAAATCCTGGGGAGGATGTGGAGCAACAGGAACTCTCATTCATTGCTGGTGGGTATGTAAAATGGTAAAACCAATTTAAAAGGCAGCTTGGCAGTATTTCTTACAAATCTATACATACTCTTACTGTGCAATCCAGTAATTGCACTTCTTGGTATCTACCCAAAGGAGTTGAAAACTTGTGCCTGGATATGGTTTATAGCTTTTTTAAAATGGCATCTTTAAAGGCTTTCCCAGATAATCCCAACCTCTCTGTCTTTGCATTGGTGTCAGTTGACTTTCCCCATTTGAGATGCCTAACTTTCATGGTTCTTCATATTCTGAGTACTTTTGAATTATATGCTGGACATTTTGAATATCGGGTTAGGAAACGCTTGAACAATTTCTGTTTTTGTTTTAGATAAAGGGCTCTCACTCTGCTGCTCAGGCTGGAATGCAGTGGTGTGATTATAGTCCACTGTAGCCTTCAACTCGTGGGCTCAAGGGATCCTCCTGCCTCAGTCTTCACAGTAGCTAGCACTACAGGCATGTGTCATCACACTCAGCTATTTTTCATTGTTTTTTGTAGAGACACGGTCTCACTATGTTACACAGGTTGGTCTCAAACTTCTAGCCTCAAGCCATCTATCTTACTTCAGCCCGCAAAAGTGCTAGGATTACTGTTTTAAGTCACTGCTCTTGGCCAGATAGAATGATTTCTATTTTTTCTATCTTTTAGTTCACGAATTCTTTTCTTGTCTCCACTCTGCTATTGAATCCATTCACTGAGGATTTTTTTCCTTTGTTATCATGTTTTCCACTTCTAAAATTTCCATTTGTTTATTCCTTAAATATTCTTTTTTTGTGCCAGGGCTTTTTTACTTGTTTCAAAAGTGTTCATGATTGCTTGTTTAAGCATTTTTTTTTTTAGACAGAGTCTCTCTTTGACGCCCAGGCTGGAGTGCAGTCACGTGATCTCAGTTCACTGCAACCTTCGCCTCCCAGGTTCAAGCAATTCTCCCAACTAGCTAGGTCTACAGGCACACGCCACCACTCCCAGCTAATTTTTTGCATTTTTAGTAGAGACGGGGTTTCACCATGTTGGTCAGGCTGGTTTTGAACTCCTGACCTCAAGTGATCCACCCGCCTTGGCCTCCCAAAGTGCTGGGATTACAGGCATGAGCAATTGCGCCCAATCTACACATTTATAAAATAGTATCTTTAAAGGCTTTCCCAGATAATCCCAACATCTCTATCTTAACAGTGGTGTCGGTTGATTGTCTTTTCCCATTTCAGTTGCCCTGTTTTCCTGGTTCTTCATATTGTGAGCAATTTTGAATAATATGCTGGACACTATGAATATCTGGTTATGAGGCTCTTAGTCTTGTGTAAATGCTATGCATATGTTGCTATTTCTGTTTTAGCAGATGATATACCTGGCTTCACAGGCAGCCACCATAGTCCTTGTCCCTATGGTGGGGCCAGGGCAAGAGAGGGCCCGGGGGCCGGGGGAGGGGGAGGTCCAGTTAAAAATGGAGTGAGTTTTGAGGGGAGCACTGTTTGAGGTATTTGAATGCCCGAGGCATATGAAAGAGCAGACAGAGGTCGGATTCCATTACCTTCACTGGGGATGAAAATTGGGGGTGTGGGACATGCGACTGGGAACCGCAAACCTCCCCTCCCCACCCTGGTAGCTGCGCATGCTCTTTGGGCACCGGCCTCAGTGCGCACGTTCACTGGGCATCTTCCCGTCAGCCCCTTTGTCATGTGGCGAATGCCCGGGAGCTGTGAGGGTGTTCAGTGGCTTTCCTGCTGTTTGGAATCTTCTTCCTCTACTGAAACTCGTCTGGTAGGTCCGCAGGCCAGTCCTCCCAGGGGCTGAAGAGTGAGGGTGAGGAGGAGCCAGGTGGCTTTGGGCGGGTCCCATGGGTCCCTCAGTGTGGTGGTCCGTGGCTTTTGAGGGAGAAGGGCCTCAAGGTCGTCCCCCTTCTCCTCACAGGTTGTGACGCCACCATCGGCTCTTTGGTCATCAAGGGGCCAGGACAGGGAGGAAGGTATGCCACGGAGGGAAGGCAGTCAGGGGCCCAGGTGAAAATGGGGCAAGTGCTGGGGATGCTGTTGGAGGGGTGGAAGTCCCGAGGCTCCAGGAACCCATGATACAGGGTGCATTCCTGAGTCCTGAATGGGGCTCCGGGCGGGGGCAAGGTGGGTGGTAAGGAAGGGGTCTGGCACCTGGAAAGGCTGAGGCTCCCCTCCCCCCACCATGGTGTGGAGTGGGGAGCGTACCAGTAAGAAGCTTTGCAAGGTGTCACCTCAACTATGGAGGGTCCAGAAACAATGAGGAGGACTTGGCGAGGCTGTGCGGTCCAAGCAAACCTGATTTGAGGGGCGTGAATGGCTCTAGTAAGTGGGAGTGTGCCAAAAGCAGTAGTAACAGGAATTGTGATTCACTAGTGTTTTCATGTGGAGTCCACTTGTGAAACTAAACCTCATCAGAAATGTCCTCTGTCAGCAGGGCATAGTGGCGCATGTCTGTAGTCTCAGCTACCCTGGATGCTGAGGCGGGAGGATCCCTTGAGTGGGAGGTCGAGGCTGCAGTGAGCTATGATTGCACCACTGCACTCCAGCGTGAGCAACAGAGTGAGACCCCGTGTCTAAATGAAATTTTTAAATAATATCTTGTGCCTTTTGCCACATGCCTTAAGATGACTGTTCTGCCAGCTCGGGCAGCATAAGTGGCTTTGCAAGCACTCAGAAAACGTACACACTTACACTTAACTCTGGGACTTGTTTTGAGAGTATTTTCAAAATTAAAATGACACCTTTTGGCCATCGAAGTAATCGAATATATCTGTCCTCTCAAGTGCATGTTGCCAATCACAGTTTTCTCTTTTCAGTGTGAAATATGGGTTTTCGAAGAAGATTAATCTATCCGTGTATACCAATATGCTATATAGAATCTTCTGAGGTAATTGGGCCTATGCTGTTGAGTGCTTTAATTCAATGTTTTCTATTAACAGAAATTAATTTTTGTGATAGTTTTGTTGCATTAGTCTAGATACACTAATAAAGGTCTTTCATGCTGATAAATTATTCTGGCATCTCATGAAGGAAACATTGACTCAGGAGGATTTTTTTTCTCTTGTGTTCTCCAGCTTTTGCCCGTGACTTCCTTCTTATGCTTTGCTTGTTAATGACAGATTGTAGACATCTATTCCAACATAGACTATAATAGCTTCCAAAGTCCTTGTGGGTAACTTTTCTCGCAGTAACCTTTCTGTGGTTAGTCTTATTAACCATGTAGAATGGAGTGGGAGAAATGATTTTAGGCTCAGTTATGATGAGAAACATCTATGCATTTTGTGTGTGTATATGTATATATATATTTTTTGACATGTATTAATAACAGAACTTTCTAAATTTATACACACACACATATTCCCTTATCACAAGCAGTCCAGTGATGAGGAACCTGAAGAAATGGAACCACCAACTAAAAACCAGGATCCTGCACCTGCTCCAGAGAGAATGGATGAGGGAGTATCTGCAGCTCAAGGTGAAGGGAAAGGGAAGAAGAATGCCTGTTGGGGTGTGTGTGTGTGTGTGTGTGTGTGTGTGTGTGTCTCATGCATTGTCACATAGCAGGAACTGGAGGAAAGAAAACAATGGAAAGAATACCTGAAATTGACTGGAAAAGTGAGGAGGGTATATAGTGTGCAGCTTAGCTTAGGGAAACCCCTCACTATGATGAAATGTGTCCACGTTATGAATGGCAGAATGGAGACTCGAGGATTGTGTTTTATCGAAGAACATTTGACTGGTGAATACAAAATTTGTATTTTATTTCAAAGTTTGTGTCTTCCTACCATGTATGTTGCTGTGAAAACAGTAAATGATTTTGCTGAAAGTGCTTAAAACTCAAATGCTTTACTGCAAGGTAGTTTAGTACTGGCCCAAGACTAGACCCAGTTCAGAGGAGCAGGAGCAACTCCAAAAACCTGGTTGCTGAACGTTGGTCAGTTTCCCTTGATTGATATTTTTATGTGGTAAGTTTGATAAAAGCTGGATAATTCAGGTTACTGCCGTACAGGTAGCTGGTTTAGTATGATTTTTCTTTTTTTTTTTTTTTTTTTTTTTTT